AATAAATTATTATTAATAATTAATAAAAATGGCTAAAAATTCCGAAATTAAAATGATGCATTTTGTTAAAAACATTTTATTTCTGATTCTTTTGTTAATTACTAACACATGTTTTAGCCTTTATTTATATTTATAATTTATTTTTGTTAAAAAGGTACCAGTTTGGATATTTAATTGCTTGTGAATTTGATTCAAGTAGTTCAGTTGATCAAAAATATACTTCTATAGTTTATTATATTTGAAAATATTTGAAATATTAGACAATAAGCATAACAATAATTTCATATTAAATAATAATATAATATTATTAATAGTACCTAAGATTTTTAAAAAAAATGGAATAAAAATATCCACATCAAACATATATCGTGGTGGAGGGAAATGTCCTATTACACCATAAACAATCGGGGGGCGGGGGAAATGTCCACGATCCAATATATTCTTTGAGTCAAACAAAATATCATTATTGTGTCCATTTGTGTGCAGGTTGGTGTGTGTTGACTGTTGGCTTATGGTCTACACAACATCGTGAGTCACAACTTATTGGGACCGTTTTTCATAGTAGTAATTTGCTTTAAATTGTTAATAGTTTTAAACTTTTACTTAAAATTGATCAATTATAAACATTATTATAAGCCTGCTATAAGGAATTACATTGTTTTTTGTTTATTCATAATCTAAATTCTAAAATGTGTGAAATAAAATTATTCTTATTTATAAAAAAGGTGGGCAAGTGGGTGTCGCTCTGCTGTACAGTAGGTTACAAGTGGGTCACTGTATAATGGATGATATTAAATTTGAATTCAACGATATAATATCATTGTATAAGAAAAACGATTCTGAGCGGAGACAGTATGTCAGTCTAGGTATAAGACATATTATATACATTATACATATCTAATATTATCTATGGTACTAAACCAAAATTTGACCTATAATAGGTAGGTACCTATAATAAATTCCAAAATTAATCATATCAAAATATCCATTAGGTACTTATAACGCGTTATACATCAACAAAAACCGTGATACTATCATAGATATATAGTAGTACACTTTAGAAGTTTCAAGTATCCACGAATAATATTATTAAATCACAACAAAATAACTAAAATAGTTATTCTAGGATTTTAATATGTAATTTCGTCCAAATTTGAATTTAAAATGTCTGTAAAAAATAACTGTGTTCATATATTTTTAGATTTTTTGGTTACAGTATGAACTATTTACGAGAACCTTTGTGTTGAATTTGCAATCCTATTAGCTATAAAAACTGAACATTTTATAATTTTTTAATTCCAACGATTGATAATTTTCGAGATTTTGATAAATTTTGTCAAAATTTGATCTTTAAATGCTTATAAAAAAAAACTGTGCCTATGTATTTTTAATATTTTTCAACTGATATTGTAACAATATATCAGGAGCCTTGTATTAAATTTTTACATTTTTTGGCCCAACAGATTAAACTTTATTGATATTTATAGAAAAAAAAACTAAAAAAAATTGAAAGCTGTAAATGTCCATAAACAGCTCAAAAAGAGTCAAAATATTTTTAAAATTGTATGGTGTATAGGAAATGCTAATATAAACATTTAGTGAAATTTTCATGTATCTACAGTTATTCGTTTTTGAATTACAACAAAATAAGGAAATCGCTACATGAGAAATCGAGTGAACATCCAATGTTGTAAAAATTTGAATTTCAAACGCTCATAAAAATTTAATTTGACATTCCGGTAGAGATTTTTTTATTGATAAAGGTAGACAAACTTATGAGTAATCTTGTATTACATTTTCAAATCTTAGATTTAAAAAGAAAAATGTTTACGAATTCTTAACTCAAAATAATTCGCTAATTTTCGTGATTTTTCCATATTTTTACAATTTTTGAACTTTAAATGTTTATAAAAAAAAATTGTGACTAAGGATTTTTAATATTTTTCATCTGCCTTTGAAACAATATATTAGGAGCCTTCTATTAAATTTTAAAGCTTTCGCAACTAACAAATAAAATTTTATTGATATTTTTAGAAAAAAAACTAAAAAAAAAATGGAAAATGAAAATGTCCCTAAACAGTTCAAAATAAATCAAAATATTTTGAAAATGTTATCGTGTATAGAAAATTCAAATATAAACAACCAGTGAAAATTCCATGTATATACGTTCATTTGTTTTAGAGTTACATCAAAAACCAAAATCGATTTTTTGGAAAACCAATTTTGCGTAAAAATTCCCGTTTTCCTTAATTTTTATGTTGTTTTTCCCGGTGCTTGTGAAAACTACTGGGAAATGTTTACTTTTGACCCCCCAAAGTACCAACTAGATTCACTTTCCTATCAGAAAAGGTACTATTGAAGAAAATCTAAGCACTTTTACTGTCCCAAAACGTGATGACCGACAAAAAAAAAAAAAAAAAAATATAAAAATATAAAAATATATAAAAAAAGGTGGGCAAGTGGGTGTCGCTCTGCTGTACAGTAGGTTACAAGTGGGTCATTGTATAATGGATGGTATTAAATTTGAATTCAATGATATAATATCATTGTATAAGAAAAACGATTCTGAGCGGAGACGGTATGTCCTTCTAGGTATAAGACATATTATATACATATCTATGGTATTAAAAAAAATTGACCTATAATGAATTCCAAATTAATCATATCACAATATCCATTAGGTACTTATAACGCGTTATACACCAACAACAAACCCTGATACTATCATAGATATATATAGTAGATTACTTTAGAAATTTCAAGTACCCACGAATAATATTATACAATCACAACAAAATAACTAAAATCGTAATTCTTGGTTTAAATATGAAATTTTGTCTAAATTTGAAATTAAAATGTCTGTAAAAAATAAGTGTGTTTATATATTTTTTAGATTTTTTGGTTACAGTATGAATTATTTAAGAGAATCTTTGTTTTAAATTTTCAACTCTTAGTTATAAAAACTGAACATTTTATAATTTTTTAATTCCAACGATTGATAATTTACGAGATTTTGATAAATTTTGTCAAAATTCCAACTTTAAATGCTTATAAAAAAAAATCGTGCCCATGTATTTTTAAAATTTTTCAACTGATATTGTAACAATATATAATAAAGCTTGTATTAAATTTTCAGACTTTTTGGCCCACCAAATAAAATTTAATTGACAATTATAATAAAAAAAACTAAAAAATTGAAAACTGAAAATGTCCGTAAACAGCTCAAAAAGAGTCAAAATATTTTCAAAATTGTATGGTGTATAGGAAATGCTAATATAAACATTCAGTGAAATTTTCATGTATCTACAGTTATTCGTTTTTGAATTACAACAAAATAAGGAAATCGCTACATGAGAAATCGAGTGAAAATCCAATGTTGTAAAAATTTGAATTTCAAACGCTCATACAAATTTAATTTGACTGCCCGGTAGAGATTTTTTTATTGATAAAGGTAGATAATCTTATAAGGAATCTTGTGTTTCATTTTCAAATCTTAGATTTAAAAAGAAAAATTTTTACGAATTCATAACTCAAAATAATTTGCTAATTTTCGTGATTTTTCCATATTTTGTCAATTTTTGAACTTTAAATGCTTATAAAAAAAATTGTGACTAAGGATTTTTAATATTTTTCATCTGCCTTTGAAACAACATATTAGGAGCCTTCTATTAAATTTTCAAGCTTTCGCAACCAACAAATAAAATTTTATTGATATTTTTAGAAAAAAAACTAAAAAAAAATGGAAAATGAAAATGTCCCTAAACAGTTCACAATAAATCAAAATATTTTGAAAATGTTATCGTGTATAGAAAATGCAAATATAAACAACCAGTGAAATTTTCATGTATATACGTTCATTTGTTTCAGAGTTACACCAAAAACCAAAATCGATTTTTTGGAAAACCAATTTTGCGTAAAAATTCCCGTTTTTCCTTAATTTTTATGTTGTTTTTCCCGGCGCTAGTGAAAACTACTGGGAAATTTATGCTTTTGACCCCCCAAAGTACCAACTAGATTCACTTTCCTATCAGAAAAGCTACTGATGAAGAAAATCCAAGCACTTTTACTGTCCTAAAACGTGATGACAGACACAAAAATATAAAAATATAAATAAAAATATAAATAAAAATACAAAAACATACATCATTGTAAAACCAATACATTCATCGCTCCGCTCAGAATCTAAAAACACACATCATTGTAAAACCAATACATTCATCGCTCCGCTCAGAATCTAAAAAAATAACGTCTAAAATTGAGGTGGTCCGTGACCCATAGAAAGTTTTCTAAATGATCCATAGTGTCAAAAAGGTTGGGAACCATTGCTATATAATATGCTCATGTGCAGCTTTTTAAACTTAATTTGTGTCAAAATGCTTGAACAGATATATTCAAATAAAAATCACATATTGATTAAATAAAATGTTTTTAAATTTGTTTTAATACAGTAGGTAAGTCGCCAAAGTCGTATAGGTATACTCAATGAATATTATTAAAACTTAAACATTGTTTCGTTCAAAATAAATATTTTAAACATTATTACGTATATTTATGTAAAAACAAAAATATAACACGACAAAGTTGTATGCACTGTTATTAATATTATTTGTTAAAAATATGAATAAAAAAAAATATTGTTATATTAATAAGTTATTACTTATTAGAAACTAATATTCAAGTTCTTCGTTTGTTCTATATTAAAGGTTACGGTCATTAGTCACGCTTAATTAACATTAATGATCCCATCATTTAATGTGTTAACAGAATTTAACGAGTTCTAAAACTGCATTCTCTGCATGTTTCATGTCGGCGTGTGAACGACTACATAATATTACTAAATTACAATATGACGTCATACTCATAATCATACTATGTGTCCATGTGGTCCATATAATTACATAAGTGTAACATGTGATTATAAAAAAAATGTGTATATTGTATACACTTCATACATATATAAAATATATTTTTTATTTTACAGGACAACAGCATAAACACAGATGGGGTTCATCACAATTCTCTTGCTATATTGCATGTCAAGTGCAACAGGTCACTTGAATGTGTTCATCAGTCAAAAAGAAGTCAAAAGGATTATGGGTTAGTATTTTACTTACCGCCATGTATCTCTAATAAAATAAAATTTGATATAATATGTTTTAATGAAGGTTTTATTTAATTGAGTTTAAAAACTAGATATACGATCAACATATATAAGAATATAATTTTGAATACGTTTTGTCTAAATTACCATACAAATTAACTTGATGCTAAGTTCTTATATAATGTGTTGCCGTGGTAGTATATTATGATTTGCTTCCATGTTATAAAACCTATTACAAAGGGTACATAACTATATATAGTATACATATTCTTATAAACTAGAAGTTCAATGGATCGACGCATATAGTTGTGCTGTAGAATAACACAATATACAATTTGCATAATGATTTTTTTAGTATAGCCCTTTAAAAATAACAAGCAATATTATCCGACTTTAAAGTAGCCATTTCACCACTAGTAATATATTACTACTCATGATTGTTACCTTTACCTGGTTTATCTAAGTTATATTGATCCCTTAGAAAATATATTATTGTTTTATTTTTTCATACATTATTTTGCTAGTTTATAATGTTTATACCTATAAATAATATATTTATATTTTATTACATTACTTATATTATATCAATGTCTTTCTCATTTAACCTAAGAAACGGTAACGTATAAATAAAATTACATATGAAAATACAATTGAAATTATATTGTAAATACTTAAAATCAGATGAAGCATAATATATGTTTTGTAATTAAATATTTTATATTGTATACATTTATTATAAGTTATGAATCTAAAATTGAAATAGGTAATATTCAATACAATGTACAAATGCTCAACTCTCAAATAATTGTAGTTCTTACCATAATTCTATACTTTGTAGTTTGTATTATAAACACCCAATTTTAAATGTTGAAATATTTTCTTTCAATAAATTTAAATTGGTTTTATTTGTTTGTATAATATTATTGTTAAAATTACGATTCCTATTTTATTTTATTTTATTATATAACTATATTTCATTTCTAAACGTTTGTATAACAGCACTTCAATCGTGGTTATTCGTTTATTTTCATTTTTACCCTTCTACTACAATACTCGTTTTCTTCCAAAATATCGCAATTTTTATTTTCTAAACTAAGTCACGAGAAAAATGTCTATAGTCCCCTTATTCGAAATTAGATTTTGCCGCCGTCGTTGTCTCCATTAAACTTGGTGGGCGCTGACAAAGAACCCTTTTACACCACTAGCTATAACATGGGGTGTTTGACCTTAAAAAAAATAAAGTACGTTATTCGAAAGCTCAAAGCTTTTTATATTATATAAAACAAGATACCTAATTGGCAACTCCTGTAGGGGGTGAGTTATTCGTGAGCCAATCGGAACAACGTAATATTACAAAATTAAACGCTACGTAAAAAGGATGGAAGTGGGAAAAAGATAAAAGTAAAGTTAATGAAGAATTAGATAATTTTAAGTTTTATTCGTTACACACGATAAATACCCCTCATAGCTTCGCAAAATAAGATAAAGTATTTTATTCACAATTTCTCTTTTATAAAAATAAAAATATTAATGTATTTTGGTTGAAAAAATAATTATATTAATACAATATAAATGTAAAAAGTTTTCCCTAACAAGTTATACTTTTAGAGTTATAAATAATTGTAGATTCGGAGAGGAGTGATTGATATAATTATTGATTTTAAAATGATGTATTTTTTTTCAAATTCACGAAAATTTAAAAATTATTTTATTGTTAAAAATGTATAAAATTTTTAGTTTTTATAACGAAGAATTGAAAATGTAATACGCGATTCCTCATAAGTAACCAAAAAAATCTAAAACAATAAACAAGCTCAAATGTTTTTATAGACATTTTAAGTTTAATATTGGACGAAATTAGATATTTTTTAGTAACTAATAACGATTGTAATTATTTTGTTGTAATTTAAAAATAGTATTCGTGGGTCCTTGATACTTTTAACTTACATTATTATAATTTATAGACCCAAGAATATTTTAAAATTCAATGTTTATGTAAAAATCGATTCCACCTCAGTATAACTTATAGTAAAATAAATTATTTGAATAGTAACAAAAATATATATTAATATATACTTATTACTTACCTAGTAATATAACCTGATGGACCGTATTCGCTCAGAATCGTTTTTCGTCGACTTCGATATACTTATTATGATATTTCTATCATCGAATTTAAATTTAACAAATACAATACAATATTTATTATTAACGAGGTACACTCTCAATAGTCGTCACTCATCACCTACTATTGTCTATTAGAGCATTTACCTTCTTTCCCCCTTTTTAGTTCAATTTTTTCTTTTGCTTCTTAATAGTTTTATTGATCTAAGAAGAGTTATTTATTTTTAAGTTTCTTTTATTAAATGTCCATCTATCAAAAGGTGATTTGTGATCGATTATTATGAGTATTATAATCCATAAATATTACTAATAACCATAATAATGATCACTGAACACTGATTTACAAACTAATAAATTATACACCTACGTTATACATAGTTATATACCTATATAGCCTATTAAACGTTAGGTATACGTGTATAAGACCGTCTGTTTGGATGGTACTGCAATTGAACATCTAATAAAAAAACCTATAAAAGGTCTTTGACTACGTTTAACAATGCACCTACAATTTGGTTTTTTTGGTCGAATGATTAATTATATGACAATATTGGTCTAAATTATACACATAAATACATAATAGTACTAAAAAGTGTACCAAATATTATACAAGTTTGTGATTATGTATCTTAACTATCATAGAAATCATAGAAATCTATAATTAGTTGGTACTAATATTTAAGGTTTCATTTTTCATCGATTTTTAGCATTTTTGCACAAAATTATATTTATTTTATTGTTCGAATTGTAAAATAATCATAGAACCAGTTTTGAATTGTTGATTTATATATTTTATTTTGATTGAATTTCATAAGCACTAAAATACCAACGGTGTTTAATATTTTAACAAACTCATTGTTAATATTCAATTGTACTTATATAATAAATCCTTATTTGTTTGTCATCATTCGTTATACCTATGGCTTTTTTCATGTTAAATATTTGAAATTGAAAGTTCAACAAAAATAATAGTTTATGAAGTTATGACGGTATACCGCCCATTTATTGAAAGACAATTCATCGCAGAAAAAAATGCTCTTCATACGCACTACGTATAAGCTATTTATAAATGTATTGTTTAACTGTATATTTTACTGACTTTTTAAAAAGATTAAATATATAATATTATATTTGTTATTGTATAATATTTATTATTACCTATAAAATAAAAACATTAAAATTAATAATGGCACACTCCAACCGAGTTATTGATATTTGCTAAATCATTATTCATTCCTAACATGAGGAATGTGAACACTACATATTACATCTAAATATAATTTCTCATAGGCTTTTATTAGTATTTTAATTTTAAAGTCAGTTTTAAGTTATGAGTTATGAGTTATAACTGTAATATATTATTACAATTTTTAAAATACTCTTAACTCGAGTTGCATGTGGGTTAGAAAGAGCAAATAAATAGTGCGCTGACATACTTCTATTCCAGTCTATATAAATTTACATTTAAATTGTTTGTTGTTTCCCTTTTCATTGTCTTTTTAACTTGTTTTACCATGTGATTTAATTCTATAATAAGTATTTTTGAATTGCTTGATTAGTTCGATATTAATAATTACGGTCTTTTGTGATTAGTTGTCTTCAAGTAATCAATTAATTAGGTATCCGGACTTAACAGCGAATATATTATTCTTGATAGTGTAGGTAACAAGTAGATTAGGTACTCAAATAAATTTAAGCAAAATCATTGTAGGCTGTATGGCGTGTTTGTGCATTATGGACGAAATTGAGTAAAATTATTTTGGTCACGTTTGCTGCATTAACCTATATTCGATTAATTTCACCTCTTCGTGAACATATACTGTTATGTTATGTATCCATAATGGTTAATACCGCGTTTTGTATACGTTTAAGGATTTAAGACTAGTCATTTTATACTGAACTCGAATCAGATTTAATTTGTATATATTTTATAGTATTATTATCTACAATATTTTCCGAAATGATTATTTTCTAAAATGTCACACTATTTTCACTAATGCACACAGCTAATATCAATAAATTGCTTTATAATATTAGACAAGCCGTTTTATTTTTAATGACATATTTTGAAATGTATTGGTTAAAACGATACCATTGTGGTTTACCTTCATAATTTAATGATATAATATGTTTTAAATGTTTTAATACTTTAATAATGGAAACACACTCTAATCCATCAATAATATATGTATTTATTTACTAAATATATATATATATATTGTATACTTACACAAAAATCAATAAAAATAAAATGCTGATAGGTACATTTAATTTAAAACCATATTGTGTCAAAAATAAATTAAATACATAGTGGTTTTTCCTTTACCCCGGAATCCTTGAATGGCGGAAAACGTCACTTGTTTACAAAGCTATATTGTTTTTTTTTTATTATTATTATTTTACTAATTGAATCTGGAGAGACCCTACTCATGTCCTCCGCAATCTCAATAGTTTGTTTTTGCATTGGTAAGGTTTCTTTATATATATATATATGTATTTAAAAAATAAATATTATTACAGCTTTCCTGAGAGAGAGAATTGCAATACTGGTGCTATTCCAGGGGTGGGTGGTATATATGCAAAATGCAGCAGGCTAGAGGACGACGGTTGAGTGAGAGCGAGAGCTTTTGGAGTAGAGAGCAACAAAAGAATAACAGCGTATTAAACGTTAAAAAGCCCTTAGCCCCGAAGGAATTAATTTTCGTGTGCCGCTTCCGCCTTTTCAATGTAGACTTGCTAACATTAAATATTAACCCTTCGAAAGCTCTTTCTCTCTCACTCCTACTCAGTCTGTCTCTCCCCTATTTATTTTTGTGGCATTTTAACAATCTAGAACAATACAATATGACCATTCCTCTTTTTATCCACCGTT